AGTCCTGGTGTGGTGCTGTGGGTTAATGCGCCAGGCTGCAAAGCCATTTGAACTGCAAGGTCGGTGGTTCAAGCTCACCAGCTGCTCCTCGGAAACCCTATACAGGGTTGCTATGGGTCAGAATCGACTCAACAGCACTTATCAACAACAACAACAATTTACTAGTAATTCTTTCTGCAATTTCAGAGTAACAACTACTGAGTTACAAGAATAGTAGCATCATCAGACCATCTAACATTTGCAAAACAAAGTTAATAATCTGACATTTGGAGAGACCATTCCAGAGGTTTTAAAAATACTTTTGTCCCAGTTTTAAAAGAGTTACATGCATATTTATTTAGCATCTTAATGCATGTTGATTCCAACCAAGTAAATCTATTTTCAAAACAGAGATTATTTAAGAGATTTGGCTTATTTTCTTTTTCTTATTGAACGTGCCAAATGTCTGTTTTCTATAAGGCTTGTGTCTGTTTCAACTTACTATTTTGATTATGAGTAGTTTATTATCCAGATAGACCTTTAAAATAGAATATTTGCTAAGGAGCTTTTTATATATATATGGTTGAATGCATATTTTAGAATGATTTGGGATTTATAAATAGCATGTGAAATATTGTTAAGAACACTTAAGTGTAACATAGAATGCTTTATAAAAAGGAAAGGAAAAAAGATGATAATATTCTAAGCATCTCCAATAAGGAAATGAGTGGGTAGAATATCTTAAATGCTGATTTGGCTTCCCTTGGAACTGTGTTAAAGTCTTTGTATTTAACAGACTGAGGGTCCAGCATGTACAATACTCAATTAGATGTATCTTATGCCCCACGTTTTAATACTTCTATGAATTTTGCCTTGAGATTCTAACTTCTGCATGTGGACTTATACCTTTTCACATTAGGGGCGTGAACTTCCTGGGGGGCAGTTCTTTTATGTTTAAAATTGCTCAGAGTTTCCATCTGCTTTTACTTGACTTGTGGTCTTGAAGATCATGCTTGGCCCATGGGATATTACAGCGTGCCGAGAGGATGTGGAGTTTTGTCAGCCAGTGAAATATGTCTGGTTCTTTTTTCCCTTTGCCTTTTTTTTTTTCAACACAGCTTTCGTATGCTTCTCATCCTGTGTGGTCTTCACTACACTGAATTTATATGTAGCAACTACTCACTCTCTTTATCATCTTCTATAACTTGCCTTTTTTAAAGAGAAAGTGTTTGAAAGGAAACCCTGAGCCAAAAGCCTGTGATCTTGGCAATTGGAAAACATAAAAACGAAAGCTTGAAGAAGTGTTATATATGAATGTACTTCAGTATTTGCAAATGCATATTTTGTAGATGCAGAAAAGTATCTAATTACAGATATGCACAAATGTCAAAAACATTCTCATTCCAACAGTAGACTCTAGTTTTGTCTGGATGCCCAATAACATTTTTGTTTGTTTCTAGGCACTACTGCAGTCTTCAGTTAAACAACAAGTAGAAGCTATTGAAAAACAGTACATTTCTGCAATTGAGAAACAAGCACACAAGTGTGAGGAGCTGTTAAGTGCTCAGGTAATAGAAATGCACATTTATCCTATATTTATACTGTTCTTCTACCTCCCTACTACCCTGAGAACTTCAGAACTGTTTATTCAGTTTTATGCCATTTACCCTCCTTGGTATATTTTGGAGAAAAATATCCTTGAATGTTTGGGAATTTTGTGATAGACTCAAAATAGTACTAAGGTCCTAACATATGTGACCCCCCCAATTAATAATAATTATTTTGTTAAATATTGAGTTTTGATGTTGTTTATCAAATAATAGATACAAAGAGATAACTATGAAAATATTATGGCAATTGAATTTCTTTTTAATTTTTATACTATTTATGTTTGAATACCTCTTATTTCATGTAGCCACTGGTTTCTGTTTGGTGTGATTTTTCTGTTGAATGTTTTTTCTTTCTTGATACAATGTCTTAGAAGGCTTACGTAATTAGTTGACTTACATTAAGATATTGGTTCAGAGCATTCATTACATGATGTAAGTAACGTATTCAAGAATTTCCAAGTAACAAATAAAATTTGCTGTTGTTGTTAAGTGAAGAGTCAGTTCCAATCCATAGCAACCCTGTACACGGTTTCCAAGGAGTGGCTGGTGGCTTGAACCACCGATCTTGTGGTTCAAACTGACTTTGCAGTTCAGTGCATTAACCCACAGTGCCACATCAGGACTCCTCAAGAACAAATAAAATTTAAGAAGTGAAAATTAAACAACTTTGTTTAAAGTTTTATATTATAGAAAGGAAATTTACTGAAAATTAGAAAAGTAAAATTATAAATAAAATTATAAATGCAAAAGCATTGTGCGCTCAATTACTGGTCTAAAAGTTGGTGGTTCAAAACTACCCACTAACACCACAGAAGAGAGATCTGCCCACTTGTTCTGTAAAGTTCACATTCAAGAAAACCCTATGACATATGGGGTCACCATGACTTAGAATCAAGTGGCTGGAAATGGGATATAAAAAGCATATTGTTAAGTCCCATTGAATTGATTCTGACTCATAGCAACTTTGTATAGGGTTTCCAGGAGCAGCAGGTGGGTTGGAATGGCCAAACTTGCAGTTAATACTTCAGTTCTAATCCTATAGTACCACACCAGGACTCTGCATAAAGCATTTGTTGTTGTTGTTGTTAAGTGCTGTCAAGTTGGTTCTGACTCATAGTGACCCTGTATAGGGTTTCCACGGAGCACCTCATGAGTTTAAACCAACACCCTTGCGGTCCAGTGCTTATCGATAACTATAGCACCACACCAGGCTATATCATCTAATCCAACAATCTCTGTTTTTAAAGTACATTGTGTAAAGTGTATTGTTCAAATACTTTACATTTAATGTGATTGCCAATATGTTTGGGTTACATGGATCATTATTTATTTGTATTTATTCCATGTGACCACCCCCCTTTTTTGCCTAAACTTGGATTTAGTATTTTAATGATTTCATTTTATCTACTTTGTTGGCTTATCATCTATACCTCTTGATTGTGTTCTTTTAGTGTTTGCTCTAAGAGAGGAGTTGACAATATTTTCCCTGAAAAGTAGTAAATATTTAAAATATTCATAGTAGATACTTTAATTTCTATAAACCATGTGGTCTTTATTGCAGCTGCTTAACTCTTAACTCTACTGCTGTATAGAAAAAGTGGCTAAAAACACAACATGTAAATGAATGGACATTATAGCATTCAATAAAAGTATATTTACAAAATTAGGCTACAGGATGAATTTGAACTGGGTACCACAGTTTATTCACCACTTGTCTTTCAGTTTGTCTTCCTGTTTTAGCTTGTGTGTTATTATGAAGATGGAAGCTATGGCACTGGTATTTCAAGTACACACAGGGTCGCTCCTAGTGGACAGTTCTCAGAAGTTCTTCCAGAATAAGAGAGACTTGTTCTTGTTGTTAAGTGGTGTTGAGTTGATGCTAACTCACTGCAATCCTTCATAGGGTTTTTGAGGAGTGACTGGTTAGTTTGAACTGGTTAGTTTAGCAATCTAGTGCTTATCCTACAATCCCATACTAGAACTAGGAAGAAGAAATAGTAGTCCAATTCTAACAAGTTTGCCATTGGAAATCTTGTGAATAGCAGTAGAACTTTGTCTGATTTAGTGATATATATGCTTTTTATTTTTAATATATTTATACATTGAAATTGACATGTAGATAAATCCGTCAGGTTATAAAGAATTCAAAATACAATTAGGGAAGTGTTGCCTTCACAAAGTAGATTAAACTTTGATATGATTATGGATCTTTCTTGACTGCTGCTTTCATGAATGTTGATAGTTGATCCAATAAGAGTGAAATCCTTGACAACTTCAATCTTTTCTCCATTGATAAGAATGTTGTTTATTGGTCTAGTGGTGAGGATTTTTGTTTCTTTACATTGAGATGTAATCCATACTGAAGGCTGTTGTGCTCTTTGATCTTCATCAGTAAATGTTTTAAGTCTGCTTCACTTTCAGCAAGCAAGGTTGTATCATCTGCATATTGCAGGTTGTTAATGAGTCTTCCTTAGAAGAAAATACTGATGACACGTTTTTCTTCATAGAACCCAACTTCTCAGATAAAATGCTCAGCATACAGGTTGAATAAGTATGGTGAAAGAATACAACCTTGTCACACACCTTTTTAAATTTTAAAACAATCAGTGTTCCCATGTTCTGTTCAAACAACTGCTTCTTGGTTCAGGTACAGATTCTTCATGAGCACAATTAAGTGTTCCGGAATACTCATACTTCACAGTGTTGTCCGGAGCTTTTCTTGATCCACATAATCGAAAGCCTTTGTGTAGTCAATAAAACACATGTAAACATCTTTCTGATATTCTCTGCTTTCAGCCAAGATCCATCAGACATCAGCAATGATAACCCTTATTCCATGGCCTCTTTTAAATCCGGCTTGAACCTCTGGAAGTTCTCTGTCAATGTATGCTTGCAGCCGTTTCTGTATTACCTTTAGTAAAGCTTTATTTGCATGGGATATCAAAGAGCTTGTCTGATGATTTCCGCATTCCATTGGGTCACCTCTCTTTGGAATGGGCACAAATATGGATCTCTTCCAATCAGTCGGCCAGATAGTTGTCTTCCAAATTTCTTG